TTATTAAGTGAGTTTGGCTGCGTGGTGCTGACAATAGAGAGCTGGCCACAAATCACTTTAAACACAGGCCAGTTAAGGCTTTAAGACCAGGATGCTGAGTATCGCCACCCAGGCAGTCTTTGAGTGATTTTTAGGCCTGTTTATCTGACATCTGAGGCCAAACATTCGGTTAACTGCCTCCTACTTTGAAATGTATTTTTCAAGTGAGATACTTCTGTGCTTGTTTTTTTCCCCTGCAAAGCAACATTTTGTCTCATATTTTCTTAAAGTCATTATGATATTGAAATTAATCCCATATCTATACTTTAAACTAGTGTTATTGATTTTATTGTGAACAATTCATGTGCATATAGTTTCATGTTTTAAATATTTTTGACCTCCTATTCTTTTCATCTATATATCATAACTCAGTCTTCTCTCTGATGACGTATGCCAGACATCTCCAATCAATTCATGTCTGCATCTAATCAACAACAGATAAACAGAATCAAGTCCCCAGCCTACTTTTTTTCTTTTTCCATAGTCTATTTCCCTCGAATGTAGGAAATTATCTGTCGCTACTTCCGTTACATTGCAAATTTAACTAAATAAATGCAAGGCCTAAAGTAAAAATGAGTGAATTTAAAGTATGGAATGGAAAGATACAATCAATACCAGACAAACAAAACTGAAATCTCTTAATTAACTGAACTTTTCAAAATCAAATTAGTATTTAGTATATAGTATCAAATCAGGGTACATGGGCAATAGGTGGCAATAAGTGAATTCTTTGTTATAATTGAGTCACTGAATCATTTCTTCAACTAACTTGTCCAAACTTTGTTCCTTCAGTTCCTTAAACAATCATTCAATGAAGGTCGCCTGTTTGTTCATTAGGTCTAATTAATCAAATGCTCCTTTCTATATGTTATATGATGCAATATGCTCTTAGCTTTCTATAGTCAGTCTGGAAATTAGTCACGCACTTCTAAAGGCAGAAGCTGTGAAATCGTGCCATAATGCACTATATGTGTCATTTACTGTGTACAAAATAAAGTGAATGAGTGGATGAGTGATTGATTTTGGAAGAAGCTTTTGAACGAGTGAACGAGTCAGTTTGTGTAAGTTAGTGAACAAGAATGATTTGTTTAAAACAAAGAATCATTCATGAAATGAAACACTACTATACAAACTTTCAAAGAAAAAAGTTCAGTGACTTTACATATCCAACACGGGGCTCATATAAGCTCAGTGTTTAGTGAAACATTTCTTCCTTTTCACCACGTTAATCTGTCAAGCCTCAGAGCAGCTTTCACCTTTTCTGGACTCGAAACAATGGCAGTATTCAGTGTGGTTGTGATTTAGAGTGTGCTACTTGGTCCCAGAGTTAAATCTTTAGCATTTGTCTGCATAGAGGATACTACAGGATAAACAACCGCTTAACAGCACACTGCGTTTGAAAGTCAGAAACACTGATGCACTGATCTCAGATGAAGGCACCCAGTCAAAACCTTGCTGTTAATGCAATGCACGACTCTCTGTTTTCCCAGTCACCTTAAACTAACAAGCCATATGTTGTTCTGCAAGACACTGAAAAAAACAACAGGAATCTGGTTGTGTTTGTGCTGTTTTTGCTATTAGTGTCATAAAGAGTGGATTGATTCCATAAGGGCTCAGACTCGAACAACCTGTAGAATACCTGAAAACTCGATGTACTGCAGTGAGGGGCTACTGCAGCATACCACAAAAGTTGTAGGCAGTTAGATGCATCTACATAGCATACAAACTCTTCAACACCTGCAAAGAAATAACTGTATGCACATTTACTACTAAGTATCTAATTTCTTTAATGAAACATGCCTACATTTGAACATTCCAAAAGAAAACTGGGAAAACAAACTAAACAATAGCATTTCTAGTCCTGTCGTGACAGCAGTTGTGATACTGTTATGTGCTATCGCACATTCTTTGCCCTGAGGTTTAACCTGGCACAAATGCAAGTCTTTATAATCATTGCTTTGAGCTGACAAAACCTCCCACATTTCAAAATAACATCCTGGTACAGACAGTGTGATGACAATTTTAGATTCCAAGGACAGTTAACTTCCCTTCTTCCTGGTTACCATTGTGCTCTTGTGATAGCAGAGCTCCTCAGGGATGAATGCAACCCCCCTTTTTCCATAGCACAAACTCACAATGACTTAGGAAGAACTTTTCAGAATCAGAATCAGAATCAGAAGAGATTTATTACCAAGTATGTTTACACACACAAGGAATTTGACTTGACGACAGGAGCTTCCAGTGTAGAAGAAAGTACAAACATAGTGCAGACATAGATGATAGTGTAGACATACATAGGAATAACACAGTAGGGATGTAATATAAAACTAGTATAATAAAAAAATAAAAATAAAAAAATAAAATAAAAAAATTGAATAATGTACTATATACAGAAATAGAAGTATAGGAAAAAATGTAATTGTTTAGATAAATGTACAGATATGTTTATTAGTGTGCAGATAGATATGTTATTTACAAAGTGTGCAGTTTAATATAAATATACTATGTTAGTTGTATAATTTTGAAAGCTTAATTGTTTAGACTGAGTATAGCCTGTGGGAAAAAACTGTTCTTGTGCCTTGCTGTTCTGGTGGTCAGTGCTCTGTAGCGCCGACCAGAAGGCAACAGTTCGAAGAGAGAGTGGGCTGGGTGTGAGGGGTCCAAGGTGATTTTTTTAGCCCTTTTCCTCACTCTGGAGATGTAAAGATCTTGGAGGCTGGGCAGAGGGGCACCAATAATTCTCTCAGCAATAATCCCCTTTTACATGCAAAAAACATAATGCTTCTGGGATGCTGCAGTACATATGTTTACTACAGTTGTGCCTGGATGGTACCTTCTTTAATTAACCGAAATTATCATTATATACTTAAAATTAGTCACACAATAGTATGATAATATGTGCATTACCATATACAGGTGCATCTCAATAAATTAGAATGTCGTGGAAAAGTTCATTTATTTCAGTAATTCAACTCAAATTGTGAAACTCATGTATTAAATAAATTAAATGCACACAGACTGAAGTAGTTTAAGTCTTTGGTTCTTTTAATTGTAATGATTTTGGCTCACATTTAACAAAAACCCACCAATTCCCTATCTCAACAAATTAGAATATGGTGACATGCCAATCAGCTAATAAACTCAAAACACCTGCAAAGGTTTCCTGAGCCTTCAAAAGGGTCTCTTAGTTTGGTTCACTAGGCTACACAATCATGGGGAAGACTGCTGATCTGACAGTTGTCCAGAAGACAATCACTGACACCCTTCACAGGGAGGGTAAGCCACCAGTCTGTGTGCATTGAATTTATTTAATACACGAGTTTCACAACTTGAGTTGAATTACTGAAATAAATGAACTTTTCCATGACATTCTAATTTATTGAGATGCACCTGTATGTATACTTACATAAAACTTTGTAATGTTTGCTATTGTTTTTAATGTAATGTTTTTGAAAGAAGTCTCTTATACTCACAGTAATATTGTGAAATATTATTACATGTTAAAATAACTTTTTACAATTTGAATATATTTTACAATGTAATTTATATCTGTGATGGCAAAGCTGAATTTTCAACAGCCATTGTTCCAGTCTTCAGTGTCACTTTGCATATATATGAAGAATCTAAAAATATATAGTTTTGATTTGTTAGACATTTTTGTTCACCTTATAACTTCCATACTTCCTTTTTAAAATGTGGAAAATAGAAAATATGAATAAAAAAAATTGGTATGTGTCCAAATGTTTGACTTGTATTGTACATGACTGTATACATAAAAGCATGTTAACTGAGTGGGTTGTTTACATGTTGACATAGCTCTTTGAGCTCAGATTCCTTTGTTCAGTCATGTATCTTTGACATATATAGAGAGCCAGGAAGGATCTAAAACAAACAGGACATGTGATCATAGAAAAGAGATATGCAGCATATACATCCTGAGGCATTATGCAATGACCCCAGGACCAATGCACAGCCATCTGGAGAAGATATGTGGAAGCAGCCCCATTCTTGGGTGTTGAAATTGTATTAAATTTATAGAAGAGCTTCAAGTGTCACAGCAGGAATGACAGAACTGTTGGCTCTGCACTATGAACCCTCTGACCTTTTTGCTTGTTGATTTCAAATGAACTAAATTTTAAATGAAAGGAAATAGTGAACTGATTATACCATCACAGAGAGATTAAACGAAACCGTTTTATGTTATAGCCTACTCTTTGTTTCATATGCTCCACATTATATTAGTGTGTAATAACATCCATTAGTCATTATGACATGTGGTCTACAATTTATAGAGGGCAATTTACATCAACCATAAAGAACTGTTCCCCAAGCGTCCATGATATGCTTTCAAGTATGGAATCTTGATTTCATTTACAGTTTTGACTCCATCACGCTATTTTCCTGATCAATCCTGTGTAGTCTGTGTTATAATTGTGGATTCTGGGGTTAATGTAAGGGTAACATACACTCACAATCATAAATTGTGGATATAAAAACAAAATATAATTTATTAGTTGTGAAAGGTACAAAGAGATCCGCCCTGTAAAATGTGGTTTAAATTATGATGAGTTAGTGTGGTTTTTAAGAACAGATGCAACTCGCACATATAACTAACTACCACCCCCTAGTGGTTACTTGGAGTTTTGGAGTAAAACAGATCTAAATAATATATAAAAGAGTGAGTTTTAATAGAAAATGCAAAAAAATACATTGTTAACATTTAGATTTACATACATTTCGGTCAAATACACCAAAACATACATCTGAAAAAATAAATAAAAATAATAATAAATAAATAAAAACACCCACGACCAGGAATAAAATACATACTTGGACGTTTTATTTTATTACATTTTTATTTTATTTGAGCAAAGTCGTGCACTTTTGTGTCATTTTGCAAAGAATTCTTGACCTTTATTTTGAAAATCTAAACAGGAAGTAGCTGCTCTACAAACCTCCGACTAGGATGCGCGAAACCCTCTGAGGGATTTCCCTTTATTTGATATCCATGTTGATTGCGTTGAAAGAGAAAAACCCAGTATAAACAGACTAGAAACACAGCGCCAGTCATGTCAGAGACATACGGTAGGGTGACTAATTTTCCTTTTCTCCTGCCACACTTCTTGTCTTCAGCATAGCATGAATTTTAGCAGGTGTCCCGAGCTCATTCATCCCAGTATTTGCTTGCAAGCTCTGTTCAGTGCCAGCTAGGCAGCAGCTATCTGTCTGCCATATGTTTCATCTGTCGACGCCATTCATAGAAGTGTTCATTAATCTTTGATTAGTCAATTAAATCAGTACTTCTAGTAACAATGACTATAGAAAGACCGTTATTTATTTGGGTATAACTTGATGACAAACCTCTTTAATGTCTACATTAGATTATGACCAGTGTCAATAACCTATAGTCTGATTAATATTTTGATATAGTAACATTCCTATACAGTATAGTATAGTATACTATCCTATTATTATGAGAATTCTATGCAGTTTTTGACTAAACATCTTTATTGTTTTTGTTTTCCTCCCATTTAGATTTCCTGTTTAAGTTTCTTGTAATCGGAAATGCAGGAACTGGAAAATCTTGTCTGCTTCATCAGTTTATAGAAAAAAGATGTATGTCAGTTTCTGTTATCTTCTCATAAAACGTTCAGAAACAAATCTATGAAATGACAGTCATTGTTCTGTTGCTGATGTCGTTTCCTTGTTCTTCTAGTCAAAGATGACTCGAATCACACTATCGGGGTTGAATTTGGCTCGAAGATAATCAGTGTGGTCAATAAGTTTGTCAAGCTCCAGATCTGGGATACAGCAGGACAGGAGCGTTTCAGGTGTGTTCATACGGCTGTGTCATATTTCTAAAACTGTTTCCCTCTTAGATTGGCCTTGTCTGTAAGGACCACTGTGAGATTTGGCTTATGATGATATTTTCCAGATTTGTTCTCAGGCAGTCAGATGGTGGAGCATTTGGGGAGGGAGTGATTCAAGTCCAGATTGCACGTAGGAGTTTATAGTACCTTGCACAGATTCATTTGTCAGCGCTATCAACATGCACTTAATTTGCACTGAACATTTGCCCGCAGCTTCCTTAGAGCCAAGATAGCCTCAGCGCATTTAAAATGAAAATATGCTGATGTCACACAAACCACCTTTTGTTTATGTAGGGTTTTTTGTGTGTTTATACATAACTTTGAGACTTATTAAAAATATTAAAAACTATGATTTTTTTTATTTTTCTTTAATCTTGTCTTTACTTGCACAGGGCACCAATTAAGCCAAATGTGCCACTGGTGCTCCTTAAAAAAAAAATCAAAATTATTATATAATTTTTTTTAAAAATAAACAAACCCTTTATTTTTTAATATATATTTTCAGTTTTTATTCAGTTTAAGATTTAGTAAATTTTTTGTGTGCTATTTAAATTTCTATTAGTTTTTATCAGTTTCATTTTATATTTGTATTTGTATTTTTATTTAAATTTTAGTTTTAGAAATTTTAATACTTTATCTTACTTGAATTGAGTTAGTTTGTAAGGCAACATTTTTAGTTTTGTACATATTAAATTTTTAATTTTTGTATATATATATATATATATATATATA